TTTTTTTTTTTTTTTTATTCAAAACCCCAAAACCCTAAACACTAAGAGAGAAAAACTTTTTTTTTTTTTTTTTATTCAAAACCCCAAAACCCTAAACACTAAGAGAGAAGAAGAAAAATTCTCCGTGTTTAAAATGTTTAAAAATAAAATATCAAATAATAAAATGTCTGAGAATGGAATAAAGAATGCTATTAGCTATTAGATTTTGATGTATATAAATAATGTTTCTGGTTCCAATAATTTTATTAAATTTGTTAATTTTAGATGATTAAGAGTCAAATTATTTAATTAAAATTTAATTTATTTTGTCTTAAATTTTAGGATTTTAAATTTATTTAGCAATGAAATTAATAAAATTATACAAACTTTTACTTGAAAATAAATATAAATAATAAGTCAAATTGTAGAATTAATTGTTACGCTATATTTTAGAAAACAGAATCCTATTAATTTATCTCACTCATCCCAACTTAAAACACGTAAATTTTTTATTGTCATTTATTAGCTATTTTTCTCCCACCTCCTTTGAAAACAATTTGAAATCTCTAAAATTGATAGACTATTAAGAAAAATAAAATAAAAAAATAATGAAAAAGAAACTACAAATCACAAGGAAAATACTCGAGCTAGAAAGGGAGAGGATATGAAACACAAATAAAATAAAAAATAAAAAAAAATCATTAAAAAACAAAAACAAAAATATATAAGGATAAAAAATAAAATTGGGAAGAGTTGAATAAAAAAGTAACTAAGAGAAAAAGGAAATTAAGAGATATGAGAAAACTCATCTCTTAAATTACAAATTTTGGAGAAAAGAGTTATCCAAATCTCGACCAATCAAGGATTTTATATACCTACGTGCAATTCCATACTCGTAATGACAACAAAAACCATCCTTTAACCTTCAAGGTTAGGAAGCCATGCATCTCGAAGGCATTCAATTCATTTCGAGTAATTTGGATCCAAACAGGTTTGAATCATCAAACAAATTGAAACCTCAGTACTAAACTTTGTCAAGTGTTTACAATTCTACACTCAACTATCCGTTCAAACAATTACTCCATCAAACTTCTAAAATTGTCAAAGCAACCAATATGTTTGTCGAATAACGCGAAGATCATAAACACATGAAATAAATAATCTCGAGACAACTAAACAAGCATATCCAAAGTAGAAAAAACCCTAACCAAGAGTAAGAAACACCCTAATAGAATGGTAAGAAACAGAGTAGGGATATAGATAGAGATAAGGGATGGGCCCCTAAAAGACAGTAAAAGGTGAGAGCTAATGGTGTGTGGGGGTTTAGGGATGAAGGCAATAATTGGAGGGCCTCACCCATCCCCATGCACTCTGTCTGTCTTATCATTTCTGATGGGATGCCCAACTGGTTCTATGCATATACTCATATCCTCTTCATCTTCTTACTTTACAAGCAAATCTGTTCATCACCCAAAAATTCAGCATCACAAATCATTCTTCCTTGCAGTTCACATGTTCTAACACTTCCTCAAATTTCCTGTCCTTCCAAACTAGACTTCTCATATGTGGAAGTAAAATATTATAGAATATGGTCAAATACTACACCTTCTAATCCTAGTTACTCCACTCTAATCTTAGTTAGGCCATGTAGATAACAACATTAACAGAAGATCAGCTGTTGACAGAACATATAAAGATTGCCCATCAACATTTAATTAACAAACATTGACGGGAAGAACTAAAAAGAAGCATAATTCTAAGGCAGCAATTACCAATGTCTTGTTCAGTAGGGCAGAATGAGCATAGTCTATGTAGGCATGCTTTGATCAGTTCTTTTATTCAAGAAAAATTGCAAATGAAGTGTTGTCTGGCCATTAGTATGTTAATGATAAAACCAAGATCAATATAATAGTAAAATAAAAGGCAATAAAGAAGAAGTAAACGCAAAGGTTTTCCCTCAAACACAAGTCTTCTCTTCAACGAAAGAATTTCAGAAGAAAAGGTACAGATTGATTCCAGTAATTTCCAACAGCAGCACAATCTATCTATCTAGAACATGGGAAATTTTGGATGCCAAATTCATTGGGAGGAGGAAGGGACATGCAGATAGCGTGTATATATTACAGGGGCTTACCATAACACCATCTGCTATTTGACCAACATAGCAATACCGATATCAAATATGCATCTTCTATGAAGGAGGAAAAAATTCAACAAACGCTTTCGCAACAGCCAGTTCGCCACATGATAGGAGTGTGCTGCAGCTGGAAAGCTGGCCAGATCGCACCTCTTCACATTCTTCCAGTACCTTATCAGAGAATAGACCATCAAACTTCTTAGGCTAGCTGTTATTTATGTGGGGATTTCACACCAGCAAGGATCTTCCCCAGGTTGAAGAAAATTCAATAACTTAAAAGAAAAAAGTGAAAGTAAATAAATAGCTCATACGATGAGAAAGAACTTCATTATCAATTCAATTATCCCAATCTCCTCCTCCTTCGCTCCTGCAAATTTTCATTGTCCAAATCTGACCGTCGTGGTAACTCACTTCTCCTCCTGGTTGATGGAGATGGGAGTATTATTCGGTCGAATTCTGTACTACTACTGGTCTGGTTTTCTAGACGTGCAATATTAGTAGCAATATCCATACTTCTAGAAGATGACTCGAATTGGGGAACCAGAAAGGTGATTCCACCAACAGGATCTGGAGGGATACCATCCGATCGCACAGTTGCAGCAATACCGGACAAGGGGTCTCCATTGTTAGGATTATTTGGTAGAGAGTGTGGGCGGCTTCTACTTGCGCCATGATTGTGAATGTATGTTTCAAGGTCCTCAACTAATCTTTCAGCAGAGTCCATTGCAGAATTCAAAGCAGATGAAAGAGATGAAAATGAGGCAGCACCTTGCAGTAGCAACCTAGACACTTGAAGGGATCGGCTTTGTTGATTGCTCTCATTCTCAGTAACAGGTAATACTTGGGACGCACGACGCCTCCGGCCCAACAAATTAGTCCTCTCAATCCTTCCATGCATAATGTCAGAATTCTGCGATCGAGATTGCTCCCCCATTGCACCAATCATGTTGCTAATCTGCTGGATCCTTTCTTCAATGAGAGAAGAAGATGCCCCCTGGAACAAAATTTGTTGCCTCATACTCTCAATCCTTTGAGCACGTGGCCTGGGAGGAACCTTCAAACCAGAATCATTCGGTTTAGACTTCTGAGCACGATTACCATTTCCATGGCCATAGATTGGAATGATGCTAGTATCTGTAACTTCACCTTGACATTCAGGGCATTCCTTGGCATTTGAATGAACATAAGATAACTGATAAAAGCAAGACCAGCAAAATAAGTGACCACAACAAGTCAATATTGGATCCTTCGCAACATCCAAGCATATATTACAATCAAAAAAGCTTCCCATCTTGTTTCCAGTGGGCTTCAGCTCTGGATCCATCCCCAATGCTTTGGCAACCAAATGAGAGCCATCCTTTTTACTAGTTTTGGTGGAATTAGCTACTCTTTCCTGGGCAGCACTATCATCACCAGTGTCATGTCTTTCAAGGTGAGCATAAGCTGCTGCAGTGTCAGCAGGTTCAGTTACAGTCGGGGCATGTCGCCATCTCTGTCGCCGTGTAGCCCTTGTTGTAACGGCTTCAAGTTGCCGAATGCGTTCTTCAATGCGTCCATGAGCATTTTCAAGGTCATTCAGTATGGTGTCTAACCCTACCACTGAATCATAAGATTGATCCAAAGGCTCCTGATTCAAATCGAGGTCCATTATATCTTCTCTTGAGTTATTTCCCATTAGTATCTACACCGAATCTTTCCTTTCATTCTAACCTCACAACTAAAAACAATTCTCAAATTCAAGAAGCCAATCGAACCATCTCTGCTCCTGCCATTGAACAACAAAAGCTTCACTTCTGTCAGTACAAAAGCCTCAAGAATTCCACATACCCTAAATAATAATAAAAATAGTAATCCCTAAGCACCAATTTTATCCACTGTTAGACAATTTTGCTTCAATTGTCCACAAAATAGCATGGAAACTCTCCAAATTGTCATGAAATCCAAATTCCCCCGTGAAATCAGAAACTGACTTTTTCGAAAAACCTAGAACAACGACCCAAGAAAGATCTCGATACAACAAATCAAAACAATCTTGAAAACCACTCACAAGAAATTCAGAACCGAGAATAGAAAAGACCTGTTATCAGGCGAAGATTCGGGCAATCCGAAGCCCCTCGATCAAAGCCGCACTGCATCCATCGGCAAGGAATTGGAAATCCAATATCAGAACTCTGCAAGTCGATTCTCCAGGACGCTGCTTCCTCGAGAAGAGAGGGAGAAACAAATGAAGTGAAGAGTGAGGAGGAGGCGGAGATGGTGGCCGGAAGCGGAAAGGAAGCGGTGGCGGAGAGAGGAGGATATTTGGCTCGCCCTTATCAATTATCACGATACGGCCTACAGAGTGTCTGAAAGATCAAAATTACTGAATGGCGGACGTACCGGAAGAGAACCATACGACGTCGTGTTAGTATATACAAAATACCGTCTTCCTATTGGTGAACGATTTTAGTAAATTTGTTACCTTTTCCTTCGCTTTACCGATTCATAATTCCCAAAATCGTCATTCGTGACGCATAAAATATTTTTTAAAAAATAAATATTTAAATTTGAATACTTTTAAACCTCTCTATTTTCAAAAATAAAAAATAATATAAATATATCAAAATACACCTTTTTAAAAATAAAAGGATTAATCATATTGAATTTAAACCTAAATTTTTTAAAATACAAAATAGGTTTAAAATCATTTTGATTTTAAATTTTTTATTTTGTTCTTAAAATAAATATTTTAAAAGTACACTAACACTTGCATGATTAATATAAATAAGATTACGAGCTATCATTTTAGAAACGTCGATTTGGTAAGTGAAAATTAAACGAAAAAATAATATCACAAACAACCAAAATGATTAGTTTAGGAAATAAAATAATATAAAATTAGAATTTCAAGAATACCTAAAATTGTAAAATATTATCTTTCATATTCTTTCCTATCTTTCTTTTTTTGTTAATATTATTTTTCTTGTTTTAAATTTTATTGGGCAAAAATGAACTGAGATAACATCCGAATCAGAGTGATCTTTAAGATATGATTATTAAGAAATGCAAAAATGGACAAAGTATGCGGGTAAGACTCGTGTTGGTCTCTAGATATAGTTTTCATTCTTAAAAACTTAAGAGCAGATAACATAATCAGGTTGCACGAAAGTCTCTAGAGATAGTTTTCACTTTTAAGAAACTAAGAATATAGATAACAGTTTTCACTTTTAAAAAGCTAGTAGTAGATAGCATAACCATGTCGTAGGAATGCTCATGGTCATCAAGAGCTAAATTCGAATTTCGAATCTTGAGCATGAGTCATTACACGTGTGGAATATGGAGATTTGGAACTTTTATTAAAAAAAAAAAAAAAACATTTCAATTGCCACTTATTATCTTCGATTAAAATACCAAACATGAAAATTGTTTACTAGATGGTTAAATTTAAAAAGGAAGGAAAAAAATGAAGTAGCGTTGGCGACAAAAGGGAGTGCGCGGGGGTGTGTACTAGTGTGCGGGCACGAGGTATAGCTGATGGGGAGGGGGCAGAAATTATAGTCATGTGAGCGAGCGGCAGGCAAACAGGGGTGCACGGGCACTGCCATCGACATACAATGCAGGCGAACAAGCGGCACATGGATACTGGTGTGGGGGCGCGGATGCAAGGGATCAGGCATGCAGCACATGAGGCTAAGTGGGCCTCATTGCAGCCCAGGTGAGCGATTGAGGTGATCAACAAAGGACATGCATGCCGTCACGGGCACACGACTTGAAGGGAGCCTAATCAGCGCTTTGGGTAGCTCATGCGGCCTTCTCAACCATTTGCTTCTTACTTAACTCACATATATAAGTAAAGTACGAATAGATCAATTTCTACGTTTAATTTGTAGCCCTTAGATTACGATAGAGAACCTATTGTATTTTTAATACGTGTCAGATTATGGTAAGCCTTTTTTTTTTTTTTTTTTTTTTTTAAA